TGCCTTGTTCTCTCCAGCCCGAAGAAACAAGTGTTTTACGATGCATAAAACCAGAATATCAATAAAGAATTGTTTATGGCTTCCTGTTTTTTTACGTTGTCCAACTTTAAAAAAAAAAAAAAGGAAAAAACCAGAAGAAAAAGTTCTTTTGGCCGAGGGTTGTGTTATTGTTTTCTAACAATGCTTGTGGATCACTGGGTGAGGAGGACCTTGGAGCTGGGAGGCCACTCTGAGTTACTGAGGCTCTGCCTGCCTGCAGAGGAATGGCCTCAAGAATGAAGATGGAGGAAGGATTGATTTCCTCAGATTGTGGAGCAGCAAGAAGGGAGAGAGAAATGACAACGTGTGCCCTTGTTCTGAAAGGGTGGGATTGTGTTAGGGTTGGATCTGGCAGTACTTGGAGCGATGTGTGGTGACAGGGCCGTGGAAATGTGGCCGTAGGGAATGTTTTTATCACTGTTTTTTGCACACCTCTGCAAAAAGCCTGCCAGGATCTGAGTGTGGTCTGCTCAGTTCAAACATAAAATGCTCAAAGCCCCTTTGCTGGAAATCCTTGTTTTCAAATCCAACCCCAAGTGGTGGCACTGATTTCTGGAGCGGGGCTGGTGGAATGGGCAGTGATCACATCCCGTGGCTCTCAACGTGTCAAATCCCAGTGAATGTGTTTTGGATCATTAGTTTGGGGTTTAGGGAGAGAAGTGTCTGGACCTGTACGGTTTATATGGGTTTGCATTCTCTTTGAGGTTCTGAAAATGTGCTCATCTCTCTCTCCTGGATGGTGGAGCCTGAGAATCGTGTCTGACCTTGCTCCATGGAACCATTCAACCATTGGGCTAATTATTTGGGTTGAAGGCATTGTTTGACTCCAGGTTTGTCCTCCCTGTTTCTCTCAGTGCTGCGGGGCAGGAGGAAGGACAGGGCCACGTTTGCTGGTACTGTAGGAAAATGAGGTCCTCTGTTGGTGTCCAACAGCCACCACGTGGGATGGGCCTCTGAATGGGAATATTCATATTCTGGCCACATCAGTGTGGGGAGTGTTGGAATAACCACGAGTGTCCATGATTTGGGTGCCCATCAGATCATGCTTAGGGGCCAAATCTCCAAATAAATCTGCACAAGCTCCTCGAAGACTAAACCAAGACCAGCCAATCTTGCTGCAATAAAAATGATCTGCTGTTCAGGGCCGAGCAGAGGGAGCTGCATCCCTGCGGATCTGTGTTTCCATGCAAATGCTCTGACGTCAGGACACGCTCGTTTCTTTGTGTGCACTGCAGTAAACGAGCTATGAGGAGACAGGGGCTGTCACATGGAACCTGTAACCACCCAGGGAAAGGGAAGTTTCGAGTCAGAGGGAAAGAAAAGGAAAATAAATGGAAGGAGCAAGAATTCTGACACAGTTTCCACCCCCCCCTCCCCTCCCCAACCTGTTCTGCCAGGAGTCTTCCAGACCTCGTGCAGCTTTGCACAGATATAATTTGTTTCTACTGAACCCTTGAAAGAAGCTTTTTAAATAGGTCAAATACAGTTTCCTTGCTTTACAGTTACATCTCTCTCGCGCTCTGTGGAACCATCAGCGGAGCTGACAGTGAACTCATCTGAATTCCTGCAACTGTGCGGTTGGGGGGGGTGCATTTCTGTGTGTGGCTCTGCTGTCTGTCAGCAATCAGTGTGGTGTTTTCACATGTGCTGGGGAAGGGAATAAATCCAGAAAATTTGGAGTAGTTTACTTTAAAACAATAACAGAGGATTTGCTTGGGCAGCTACAAATACAGTTTTTCTTGCTATTATTGCAGGCTGACGTTATTTTCTGTCTGAAGCTCATCATGAAGCACGTGGGGTTTTTTTCCCTTTTCTCTGCTTAGCCCTAAAGTGTTGTTTTACAGAGGCCTGAAATCCTTCTTCAAAATTAAATAATTTTTGCTTTTGTGTGCCCAGCTCTGGTGGCTGGAGTTGGATTCTGTAACTTAAGGAAGCAGAACTTTGCCTTCATCAAGGTTATTCCATGGTACTTCAACACTTGCCTTCAGAAATAATTGTTTGTCGATCTTTGTCTGCAAGTTTTCCTTTATTTGGGCAAAAGTTTGTTGATAATTTAGATTAAATGGCTTTGTAAATTAAGAGTTTGCCTGGTTAAAACTTTTGCTGGTTACATTTTTGATGTAACCACATAGTGGGCACAGTCCTGCATCTTCTCTTGCACAGTTTTGTCGCCAGTCAGGATGGAAAATAAACTGGAACTTTGATCAAGGATTGGAAAAAGGAAAAGTCTCCAAATGTCACGTGCCTTTGTCAGTGGGGATGACTTCCCACTTGGATGTTCTGAGCAGGGAAGGTGCCTTTTGACTGCAGTTTGCTCTGATTTTGGAGAGTGTCGAGGTGCTTTCTTGCCCTGAGCTCAACCAAACCTGTGTCACAGTTCTTAGCTTTGATAATCCCCTGGTGAGGGCCTGCAGGGTGATGGGGGTGCTGCACCTCCTTTGGCAAAGGCATTCCCAGCTTTCTGGTGTCCATGGCAACCTGTGGGAGAGGGAGCAGAGCCTGGCCCTGGACTGGAGAGCAAACAGGAATTGGGAATTTCTGAGGGAGAAAAGCGTTGAAGGTCTGAGAGGAGGGGGAAAGTGGACTGTCATAAATGGGGAAATAGCTTGATACATTTATGCCTCATGGAACATACTGAAATGACACCCCAAAACCATAACAAGATGTGGATGGAAATTACTGCCAGCTCTCCCATTTGTGGTGGTACACAGAGCAGATAATAATGTTCCCCTGCTGCTGTTGCTTCCATTAGCTCATACCAAACATTTGTGCCTCTCTTATTTTACATCCCTGGGTGTATATATTGCATAATCTCAAATCATGTTGATCTTCCTCTCTCCCTGTTCTCCCCTGAGTTCCTTATTTTATTCACTTCATGGACTTGGTTTTGAATGTGTTGCAGAAGGCACAAGGTCTCCAGAAGTTCCTGATTCAAAAATCACTTCATATGTGGAGAACGTGGTTTATAAATACTGCTTTGAAGTGATATATGTATTATAATTCTACTCCTGTGTTCTTCCCTTACCATCCCAGGGATATTTGCTGGTAGCCAGGGATGAAATGCTGGACCAGATGGATCTCTGGGCTCTCCTGTGTGGTTGATAATTCTGTGGTGTGATGGTGGGGGTACGTTTAGAGTACATGATGGGTTTGAAAAATGAAGCCCTGCACGAAGGAGAAAACAAATTCTAAGAGCCGGTTCGAGACACCCTTTGATTAGGTACGTTCAGGGGAGGCAACAGCCAGATTTTTGCAGAGCTAAATTTAATGTGTGATCGTAGCACGAGCTGAGAATCCTTTTCTTTTCAAGCAAGTGTGGCAGCTGACTTGAGCTGAATGTCCTCGGGAATTGAAGCTTGGAGTGCAGTGGATGTTTTTTGTGTGTGTGTTTCTTTGTTTTCTTTTAAACCACCCCAGTATAAATCCACGTGCCAGCTGTTGCTTGCCCTGGGAAGTATTGTTGGTTGTGTGGTGGTCGCTTCATCTGCTCTCCTTCAGCTGGTAAATCCTTCTCAGCAGCGCCTTGGGAGACATTTTTCAGGAAGCAAACAAAAGGGATGCAGTGCTGGTGCAGCTTTCAGGTGTTTTCCTCTCCAAACAGTGCCCAGTGCATGTCCTGGAGCCCAGTGGGCATCTCCCAGTGCTGCTTGGAGTTCAGATTTTCAAATTTCACCCAGCAGTGTTTCCGAACGGGGCTGGGGCGTTCTGGGCTGGTTTTCCACAGCAGCCCTTTGTTGCTGTCAGGTAAATAGAAGATGACATCCCTTCGTTTTGTGATATTCCTGCACCTCTGTGTGGTTTTTTTTTCTCTCCCAGGAACATCGAGGCTGTGTGCTGGGTGTAAATTGGATGTGTTGTGAAGTGCAGCCTGTGACTAATCGGCTCTCGCTGTCTCTGCTCGTTAAGTGACTGATGGTGATGTGGCCCGGAGGACACGGGGGGTGACACCCCTGTTAAAATATGCAGGGCTTGATCTCAGAAGGTGTTCTGGGTCGGAAAGTTAAAAAGGTTATCAGCCAGTACTGGGGTTTAGCCCTTTCTATGAGTGTTTGGTGGCAATAAGATGAATAAATTGCACCTATTTCATGTGTTTATGTCCTGATACACAGCAGCTCGTGTTCTGGAGGTGATTTATTTTAAATTGTTCTTCAGTTTTCTTCAACTGATGTTGCCCTGCAGTTCAAGCAGCGTGTTTGGAACATGGCTTAGCAATTTGTTTTTGCACTGAAGATGCATTTGAAGTTTGTTGGCTGTTCCAGTGTGATGGCTCTAAACAGTATAAAAAGGAACAGGTGCTGGACTGGTCCTGGGTATTGGCAGATTGTAATTTACAGGTTACTGTAGAGAGAGGAACTGTGTCAAAGTCTTAATTCTTCAGTGGTGTCTTGGTAGCCGTGAAATAGTTTTGTTGCAAAGCTGTTTTCTGTGGTCTCTTTTTAAGTGAGGAAATTCCCTGTTTCCTTCTCCCTCTTGTGTCCCAGTGAAACCCTAAATAATGTCTCACAAAATGAGATGTGATTTAGTTTTAGGAACAGAGAGTTGGTGTTCCCATGGCTTTGTTTCGTTATCTTTATGATAATTTTACGAGAGAAACAGGAAACGCAAAGTGTTTCTCTTTAAAGTTTCCTAAATTATTGAATGGGATTTACCAAAACTCGGGGGGTAAATGTTTGATGAGCATCACCCCTGTGACAGTTGTATTTTTAAGGCATCCAGTTGAAAGAGCATGGAATTACTGGTCATTTTAATTGTGTAGTTTGTAGGTGGAAAGCTGCAAACCAGTTGGAGTCTCTTTAATGGGAGCAGAGTCTGTAGTATAATCTTTTACTCATGAAAATACTTGATTTATCACTGAAATTCTATGATTCTCGTGTTTCATGGCCCTCCAGGTTTTTAATGGTGCTTCCCCTTTATTAATTTATCGATTCATTTTTTTCAATTCTTTTTTTTTTTTCAGGTGCTTATAAGAAGAAATAGGAACCGTTTCCCAAGCTGAAGACAGAGTAAAAGAAAACTGTATCATGTGTTAGGATACTGGAGAGGGACATTCCTTGGATTAGTACATTTCTGGATTGCAAAGCAAAAGAGAGAGGAGGCCAAAAATGGGGAGGAAGAAAATACAGATCACGAGAATAATGGATGAACGGAACAGGCAGGTGAGGAACAAGGATCTGCATGAACAAGTTCATCAGGAATCCCCCAAATTAATGGAAAGCTGGAATACATTCATCTTAATTCACTATTCTGAAGCTGAGCTTTCTCTCCATCTTATCTATCGATACCATTGCCAGAACGTGAATAAGAAATGTCTTATTTATGTTTTACAACTGTTGGAGGGAAAACTGTTCTTTATAAGGAATACCAGTCACCACTTTAAATCATATTTACTGTAAAACTGCTGCTCCTGTTGAAGTGGTACCCTGGGCTGTTCTCCCAGCAGACTGGAGGAGTGTTTGGGAACAGTCACCTCACTTGATCAGTTGGTTCTGGGAACATTTTCTACTGGAGCTGCCCTTGCCCCAACAGAGAGCTTGGGAAGTCCCAGAGGGTCGTGACTCCAGCAGCAGCATTGCCTCTTCACTTCCTGATTCCTAATTGAGATACCAAATAAATTTGAATTTTATATTGAAATTATATTAGAGGGATATCTGGAACCTCCCATTTTTAAGGAAAATTATCGTAGGAACGTGATCTTTAGGACAGTCCTGGTGGCCCAGAGCGAAGGCGTCTCCTGTCCAGTGACGGTCACAGGCAAATCCGTGTGGGCTGGAGATGCACATGTTACACCACTCTAATCCTCTTCCAGCTCCCAACTATTCTTAGCTCAGGGATTTCCTGAGCCCTGGATGTGGTTTCCGTATATTTAGTAACCATTAATGGATTTTTTTGTGTTTGTTTTCCCCACTCCCCCGCCAGGGAACTTGGTCAGTTCTCCTCTGAACCCTTAAACGTGGCAGCATTTACACCCTTTGTCCAGAATTTCTTACAGCTCTGTTACCTGTTGCTTCAAAAAACACCTTTTCGTTACCCTTTGTCTTGGTCCTGCCAGTTCCTCGGTTATCCCACACTCTGGTGTGGTAGAGCAGCAGTGACTCCCTGTATAGTCTGTCCACGTTCCTGTTGTTTGGTGAGCTCTGCCACCTTGGCTTATTTTCTCTTAAAATCAGGTTTTCAGGCTGAAGCCTTTTCTCTTTACTTGTTTTAATACAGAGTTTGTTCCACACCTCTTTCACCTTACCCCTGAACCTTCTGCAGTATTACTGTCATATTTTTGGTGCCCAAGTGGCCCAGAATTCAGGATCCCTAGAAAACATGGATTTATATAGTACCCCCATTCCTGCTCTTTGATTTGCCTTATTAACTTCTGAGCACCAGCTTCTGTTGGGGCAGCGTCCGAATTCCACGGGACTCTCTCACTGCTGACACATCAGCTCAGAGCCCTTTTGTTTTGTTTGTGAAATCAGGGTTGTTTTCCTCCCTGTATCACTTTAAAGCCATGTAAACGCTGAGAAGTCTAAATATAGCCAGAAAAGTATTATTGGAGTTTGGGAGCCAGCCAAGTATTGTGTTTGAACAGCTTTAATCACCCAGTGACTGTTGTGTTTGATGGAGATAAATGTCTCAAGTACACGTAGTAAAAGGGGATGAATTAATAACTTGGGTGCTTTTTGGGCTTTGCTCTGAAATTTAAGGGACACTGAAGAGGTGGAAACCGATCCCCCTCATCCCCTTTTTTAAACTTTTTTTTGTGTGAGTTGCACAACCTTTGTTTTGTTCAGCTCCAAATCCAAATATCGTTATATTCTACCATAACTTTGAGGTGTTTTTTTCTTTCTTTCAAGGGGATTTTTTCCCCCCCCTCATTGTTCAGACTGAGACAATGGAGAGGAAGAGAATCAATGCATTTGTGTCAAATTTTAGCCCACTTGTACCATTACTGTGACTGAAGCAAAATATGCAGATTAAATTATTAGCTTTGTTTCTGGCTGGTTTTTGGCCAACATCTTTTTGGGCTTTTTAATGACTAGGAAGAGGTTTGAGGCCATAACTTAAAAATTGAATTAGACTTGCCTTATGTTTTTTTTTTTTTTTTTCCCCTGTGGAAACTCAGAAATGCAAACATACTGCTTCTTGGTTTTAAAAGTTCTTGAGATTAATATTTTTTTTTTTAGTGGAATCTTATTTTTATGTGTCGAGGTACTGATGATCTCAAACCCAACAGGTGTCCCATGGTTTTGGTAACCACTCTATGGAGTTTTAACAGAATAAAACACCCTGATGCTTTGGGCATTTGGGAGATATTTGCTGTGAGATTTTTTTTCATTGACCCAGCTAAGGAGGGAATTGGGGGTGTGTTCAGGTGTGTCCTGTCAGGTTTTCTGAGGCACAGGGAGCTGGTCAGGGGGGTCACACTCATGGACGTGCATGTGATGTCCTGTTGGGGTGTTTATTATCATGTTTAGGGCTTTTTGTTGGAAAACATAAGTAGAAGGAGACAGAATAAGTTCATGTCATTTATGTGGGAAGGGAAACTGCTGTTTTGTCAGAAGCATCTTCTTTCTGAGGGACTGTATGTGAGCTCAAAACAGAATATATAGACCATTACTCCAGGGGATTACAATTGTCAGGAGACTGTCATTGTATTATTAATTAAGCAGCCTTATCTGCTTGAATGAGCTGTAGGACATTTATCTTCATTAAGCTGAAGAGAATCCAGTGCAGTAAATTAGATATCAAAGGAGCTCAGTCTTGCTGCCTTTGCTGTCTCCTCCTCACCCGTTTTATTTTGCTCAGGAATATTAAAACAGTGCTAAGAAATTCACTGACCTGCAATAAAGAGCCATGGTTTTGGTTTTGGTGCGATCCTAAACAGCAAGGAAAAAAAAAAACCAAAAAACAACAACTTGCAGAACTAATTTAGCTTTTTTTTTTTTCTTTTTTTTCTTTTGAGTTCTAAAATGAAAATGGAATTTAAAATAATCCACGTGCATTAAACACACACACATGTTGTTTGTGGTGCCTTTTTCCTGGCAGACGCTGAGCAGTGGTACCTCTCTGTGCCTGTGTTCAGTGTCCCTGTGTCACATGCACTGGTACTTTTATAGCCTTAACTGGGGTCTTGTGAAGGGAATAATTTTTTAAACCTTTTATTTTTCCGTAATCAGTGGTAACTTCTATAACTGTTTCCTCCTTCCCTGATGGGCAAATGCTCCTTTGTGATGGTCTCTAATGGATTTATTCCCCCCCCCCCCCCCAGCAGTTCTAACAGGACAGAACAATTGTTTTCATGACGTTTCCAGGTGGCAGAAAATAAGTCAGAAGTGTAAGTGAATCTGATTAGATGACTCAATAGCAACAAAATAAGAATATTTGTTAACTCAGCATAGTTAGAAATCATATATCATAGTAACAGTGTTACTTCCTTTGATGGTGCTGTTTTCCTCAATTTTATTAGAAAATACGGAAGAAAATACTGTGATACCTGGAAATTTGTTGAAGAGAAGGAAATAACAGGCAGATATAACTCTCCTTGGTGGTTGTTTACCAGTGGAAAAATTAGGAGGTTGTGACTATTTAGCTCAGTCTAATACAGACCTCTGGGCCCTAAAAGGGACACCAGATTTTACAGTCAGCTCTTCTGTTCAGCTTGTGCCCATGAAGGCAGGAATAAATAGCGCAGGCTCAAAATTCCCTGACTTACCATCCCTCAGACCCTTTGCCACGTGTTGTGCACAACAAACAAACCTTTCTTCTTTCCCTCCCCAGGTCACCTTTACCAAGAGGAAGTTTGGGTTAATGAAGAAGGCCTACGAGCTGAGTGTACTGTGTGACTGTGAAATAGCACTCATCATTTTTAACAGCTCTAACAAACTCTTTCAATATGCCAGCACTGACATGGACAAAGTGCTACTAAAATACACAGAGTACAACGAGCCCCACGAAAGCAGAACCAACTCAGACATCGTTGAGGTAACAATTTGAAAAGACACGTCACTCTTTTATCTCCTTAAGTCCTTCAAATGCAGAGCAATGCAGACTGATTTTAACATCTTTTAACCAGATGTTCTCGAGTTATTAAATCCTTTGTGATAAAATGTGCACTGCTGCTTTTAGCCTGGTTTCTCTGAGGCACTAAGTTGTCTTTCCAGCCGTGTTGTTTTCCCATCTGCCCTCCACCCCCTGCCAGTTTCTGGGAAGCGTGTTCGGTTCCGATCGCATTTGGCAGTGGAAATAGAGGTGTGAAAGATGGTTGTTCCTCTTGGGGGTGGGAGGAGGAGGAGAGCTGTTCAGGGTTTTAATTGGGGGGAAAAAAAAATAAAAATCAATTGGATGGAGAATAAGGTCAAAAAAAAAAAAAAACCACCCCAAAAACTCAACCAAACAAAAAAAGAGAATCTGTGGAACACACAAAATGAAATGTGTCCACTCACTCTTTATGTGAGTGAAACCAGCAGCAGAGCGACTGCAGTTTCTGCAGTAATAGAATGGCATGAATATATTTACTCAAAGGTATTGGTTTCATCTACTTTTATAATGCTCGTGCTTTAAATAGAAACTCTTTTCAGTACATAATTTCTAAATTAGGTGCAGTGGAATTCAAGGATTTTCTTGGCAATTGGAGCCTTGATGTACTGTAGCTGCATTTCAGATCAGTCGTGTCTCCAGCAGTCCTGTAAATAGACCAAAACAGGTGGCTGACTTAAGGGTTTCATTTAAATTCTGAACTTGTCTTCAGAACAAATGCCTTGCTTTTTAGGAATGATTTTGGAATAATGATTAGCCTTGTATAGCTGAAGAGCCTATTGCCAAGGGATCAGAGCACAGGGATGATACTTGCTGATCTTGTAAACGAGTCTTCAAGCAAGAATCAGATTGACAAAACTGAGATACACACAAATGCCTTATTTCTGCCTGAGAAGATTCTCTGCTAATTTGTCAGCTGTCTTTTGTGATCAGAAAAAAAAAAAACCCTCCCCAACTTCTGTCTTCAGCCCTGAGTTCTAAGAGAGGGATGATACAAAGCCAGGAAGAGTTGAAGGCTTATTACTGAGTTACTGGATTAGCATAAATAAGGGATGGCCACTGCAGAGGAGGGGGAAACCTGATAATTTCAGGATGAGCTTTTGATTGTGCCAGAACTGTGTTTGAGACAGGGGTGAAAGCCAGGCTGAGTCTTGTTCTGCATCCAAGGCCTCTTGGTGTTCTGACTCGTGGTAAAAGTGCTTCTCCACACCACGAGGATTGAGGGCTCTTTCAAAGTAACTCTGCACAGGGACTGCCTGGGTTTTTTTGGGTTCTTTCAGTTGGAGGGGTTTTTTCCCCATGGCAGTGCCCGTGTGCTCTGGGGGAACGTGCAGGGACTCATCTGCAGATTCTTCCTGCCTTTCCTCAGTGGATTTTCTGTTGCACTGGTGTGGCATTTGGGACTTCACTCCCATTCCTCAAACATAGTGTAATTCAGGAGCGCATCTTCCTGTCTCTTCAGATTAGCCCTGTGTGCTCTTTGGTCTGGCTGTGAAATGTTTCTGGGTTTTTTGTTTATTTTTCTTTCTGGATTGCTGGGTGCTTGTTGTGTGGCAGAGGCTGAGTTACACCCCCAGCAGTTTGGAAACACGCTGGAAGGGTGGTGTAAAATGGCTTCTCCTTATTGTACTCCTGTAGAAATTCTATTTTAACAAATGAAAATGACAAGAAAAGAAACAAGCCTGAAATCTGTCAAATCGGAAGAAGCAATAATGAGTTACAGCTGATGTCTAGATATTAGTGAAGAGTTTAGTTATTCCCTTTCCTCCTTGGACGTGACAAGTGGCATTTATTGTGGTGTGGGCTCCCCGTGGCACTGGGGTGGCCCCACTGTGGTCCTGGCTGGGTCTGCAGGAAAGCTGAGGAGCCACAGAGCCCAGGAGCCGTGGAAGGGAAGGAACAGATCTGCTGTTCCTTATTTTCGGTGCAATGTTGTGGATGATTAAGTGAAATCGATGAGACAACTTCCCCTCAGAGTTGTCTCCTGCTCAGCTTTGGCAGAGGAATTGCTTTTAGATGCCCAGAGCTTGGTGTCTTCTGTCGCTGCTGGAATGTTTGGGAAAACATAGTGGGAGGGAGAGCACTGGCATCTTAAATGAGTGCTGGGAATTTTTTTGATGCGTGCCCTTATGTCTCTCACTGTACATGTTACTGGAGATGTGAATGCTCTGTTGCTGTCCTAGACTTGTGTGTATTTATTGGTCCCATTTTTAATTTCTGTTGATGTTTCCTCGCCCTCCTTTTCCCCCCACTCAATTTATAAGCACTCGACCCATCAATAAAATGTTGGTTGGTTTGAGAACCACCGACTGGTTTGGGTTGGAAAGGACTTAAAGCTCATCTCTTCCCAACCCCTGCCATGGGCAGGGACACTTCCACTGGGCCAGGGGGCTCAAAACCCCTCCAGCCTGACCCAACCCAACCTCATTTCTTGACCTATTTCATGCCATGGGTTTTTTCATTGGAATTTTTTCCCTTTGGTAGCTCCCTGGTACCCAATGACTGCTGTGGGTGTAAGGAAGGTGGTTTTTAGGCCATCTTGGCAGAGTCAGACTTTCGAATGGCTGGAATTGGAAGTTTGAAGTTTTATTTTAGTGTAATGTTAGTTTTCTAATGTCAGTAGAGTACTTGGGAATACACCATTCCCTGCCATTTGGTACATTAAGGGAGAAGATCCTGTGACAGATGGCCTGGAATTTGTGTGGCATTTTGAGCTGGATCTCAACCTCTGTGATCTTTGATTTTTTAAATTTTTTTATTAGATTGGTTTGTGCATCCCTCTGGAATATGGGAGGTGAACGCAACTGATACTGGGGAGGACTGTTCTTAGGATTGTAAAAGGCGTTTACTCCAGAGGTGAATAGTGGAATGTTTTCTTTAAGCCTCATGAAAGGGGGAAAAAAAAAAGTATCTTTTCCACAGGTTAGATGGATCTTGTAGGAATATTGAGAAAAAAAAAGCCCACCTGAGATTTTTCAGTCAGTGTGTGCTTTGAATTCCTGAAATCCCAGCACTGTGTATTTAGCTTTACAAACCCACCCTGGCACAGTTGCAGGTTGTTGCACTGAAGAATTTGAAGGGCTTGCTGTAGGTGGTAAAGCATTTTGATGCTTTAATATTCATGGATTTTTTTTTTTTTAAATTTTTTTTCTCTAACAGATTATTCTTGACAAGTAATTATTTTTTCCTGAAAAAGGTAGCAGTTCTGCAGAGCAAAATGGGAATAGTTTCAGGTTTTATCAGGATTCTGCATCTGGGTGGTCAACAGAATGTTTTAATGTGTAAAAGACAGTTGAGACCTTGAGTGTTCATCATTTTTAAATCCAGAGGGAATACAGGGAGATGAACAGACGCTTTCTTTAGTGCAGGGTGTGTTCAGATTATTACACCTTCTGTACAAGGTATCACTTCCATTTTGGCTCCCTCCACCCTTCATGAGACTCCCGAGAAAGCAGCAGTTGCTCAGCCATTCCCTCTCTTCCAGCCTCACTTTTCCTGGGAGTCAAGGCCTGGAGATGACTCTTCTTGCCTGTCCAGCTCAGCTGTTTCTCTCTTTGCCCTATTTTGTTGTTTTGATGTTCCCTGAGTGCTGCAGCAAGACAGGGTGGATTTGCCCTCCCCGTGGCCCTGGTGGGTTGTGCTTGTGCCATCCCATCACCTCATCAGCCTGCAGTGAGTTGATTTTTTTGGGAACCTGTCTAAAATGTGACCTACTTTTCCAGTTGGCATCTGTGCCCAGGAGAATTCCGGGTGGGTGTCAGTTAATGAGCCTCCTCTGTGCTCTGCAGCGGGATGGTGTTTGCAGGGTGGTGTAATGTGCTGAATAAGGCTGAGCTTATACCCCAAATATTGACAGCTGGCCTTGAAACAGGCAGCGAACTAAAACTATAAAGGAAACCTCTCCTAAACTATATTATTGTTTGCAAACATGCTCAGGACAGCAAGTGGTTTGGGTGCTCATATTAAATATCTTACCCCAGGAAATGAGTGTGGAGAGGGGGAACATCAGAGATGGCTCGGTGCGAGGGTGGTGCTGCCACAGCTTAGGCAGAAAGCAGCTGGATCAGAATGCAAAAAAGGGCATTTTCGTCTCCACCTTGTCAGAAAACCTTAACCAAGAGGTGTTCCAGGAGCGGCCCCTGCTCCTCAGTCCCAGCCTGTGCCAGGGCTGGGCTCGGGGCTGGGGTGAGCGGGGCGAGCTCAGCTGCACGTGCAGAGCCCGCGGCGGGGAGGAGCAGATGCATCTCCCCAGCCAGATGGAGCATATGCCAGGAGACAAGTGTGACAGTGTGGGGAGCATAAACACAAAAGTTGGTGTTGAAACACTGTGTTTATAAACCAAAAGCTCTCTGGGTGTTTTTTTTTTTTTTTTTTATTCCAGGCCTGGAATAACCAACATGTGTGTTTTGAACTGTTATTGGTGGAGGTGGTTTTTTTTGGTTGGTTCATTGCTTCTTTTAGTTGAAATTTGGGTGGGTTTCCTATGAAATGGAAGATCTGGGAGTTGTATCTAAATATATACGTGGATTAGATGAGAAAGACCTTCAGTTAATTGATCTTCCTTCCTTGGTGGGTACCTGGTGTATCCCATCTAGATGTGGATTTGACAAGCAAGTTTGGCTTCCATATTTTGCTATTCAAAGCTAAAAATTAGGGTGGGGAAATTGGGCCAAATTCTTCAAAAATGCTTATTTCTTTGAAATGCTTCAGAAGACAATTACATGGAAAGCTTTTAACTGTGTTTTAAAAGGCAAGAGAATGCCCAGCAACCGGCTTTGGCTGAAGATGAAAACTGATGCTGAATGTGGGTGACTAAAACCTGCAAATTTACATGAAATGCCAGCACAGTTTTATAGAACTGAGATGGTGCTGTGAGGTGGGACCAGGAATGCTGATGGTTAAACACACACTGGAGATTGCAGGCAGGTTGGCAGTGCTGATCCATG